CGCGTCGTCCGCGTCACGCGCGGACGTCACAAAGACCCCCTGACGTCACTGGGAACGCGGGGGGGGGGCGTCACGCGCCGCTTGGAGCTATGCACTTATTAAATCCTCTAGTTTGAAAAATAATTTCTTTAGAACTGCCTTTTTCGTGCTGTTTGTCCTTCGCCCGCACCTCCAATCAGCGCTGTTGGCTACGCACGGTAACGAAAGAACTTCAACGAACATGCATACAATGCTGTTGAAGTTTATTTTCTTTGTCATTGTGGAGGATAAATATTAAAGTTGTATTTGTTATAACCAGGCCGAGGACTCCAGAGACCGAGATAGAGGAGGCCCGGCTTACCAAAATAACAAAAAGCAAAACACGTGAAAGTAATCTTCTTGGTTCTTTCGGTAAAATCACGTAGGATGGAAATAATAAAATAATAAAAATAAAACATAATAAAATAATTCTCACGACGTTTCGGCCACAACGCAAGCAGCCGTCCTCAGGTGGAGAGCAGGTCTGTCGAGTAGACAATGAAAGTAAATTTCACGGTCCGCTACGTATACGGTGCGAAATAAATGCAGCATACATAGATCCCTCGTGATAGCACTGCGCTACAGCAATGGCGTACATACCAAATGTATTAAATTATTCATCTCAATAGCCACTGCGACAGACAGGCAGAATGATGACCTGTGTTACCCCCCCCCCCCCCATCTTCCTCTGTGAATAATTACCATGGGAAGCACTCGGCGAGAAGGGACACAGCCCATGATTTACATCCTGCCTGGATTTTCAAATAAAAAGTGAGAATGTGACCAAAGCCATGAGCAGAGAGAACGCTGCTGTTGGTGGTGCTGGTGGTGACGATTTGTCTTCATCACGGTTTTCTGAGCACAGGCGCTAAGGTCCAAAATGCCAAACGGCCAGCAACAAACAGCACCAGATTAGAAGATCGAGTTGTCATCGTGGCCACAGCCTTTGATGCCACAATCACGACCACCACCATCACAACCACCACCATCACCACCACCATCACCACCACCATCACCACCACCATCACCACCATCGCCAACGCGTTCTTTCCCCTCCGCCAGATCCCGCAGCTGCTACAGAGTCGACTCACAGCCACCTGCAAGGTCTACCCTGGGAATCTCATCCCACCGTCTGGCGTTAGACTCACACAGAGACCTATAGACTCATCACACAGAGACCCATAGACTCATCACACAGATACCCATAGACTCGCGCGGAGACCCATAGACTCATCACACAGAGACCCATAGACACAGAGACCCATAGACTCATTACACAGAGACCCATAGACACAGAGACCCATAGACTCACACAGAGACCTATAGACTCATCACACAGAGACCCATAGACTCATCACACAGATACCCATAGACTCGCGCGGAGACCCATAGACTCATCACACAGAGACCCATAGACACAGAGACCCATAGACACACACAGAGACCCATAGACTCATTACACAGAGACCCATAGACACAGAGACCCATAGACTCACACAGAGACCTATAGACTCATCACACAGAGACCCATAGACTCATCACACAGATACCCATATACTCATCACACAGAGACCTATAGACTTACACAGAGACCCATAGACCCGTACAGAGCCCCATAGACTCATCACACAGAGACCCATAGACTCACCACACAGAGACCCAAAAACTCATCACACAGAGACCTATAGACTTACACAGAGATCCATAGACTCACGCAGAGACCCATAGACTCGCACAGAGGCCCATAGACTCATCACACAGAGACCCATAGACCCATCACGCAAAGACCCATAGACTCACACAGAGACCCATAGACTCACGCAGAGATTAATTGACTCACACAGAGATCCATATGCTCACAGAAACCACAGATCTGCCCTATCGGTATCCCACCGTCTACGCTGGGCAAGTGGACCAGCGGCAAGCGGAAACATTTTTTTTACTTTCATCCCAAGCTCCATCAGTTACCGCACGGCGCTCGCCCAGTGGCATCTGGAAACGGTTTCGTGTTTGCTCCAAAATTCCATCTTTGTGGGAAAATCCAAACACAAGTCAGAGATGTGCGTGCGTGCGTTTATATGCGAGTTCATGGATCTCTGTGTGAGTGTACGGTTTTCTATTTGAGTCTGTGGGTGTCTATGTGAGCCTATGGGTCTATATTTAAATTTGTGGGTCTTTATGTAAATCAATGTGTCTCTATACGAGTCTATGGATTCATATTCGAGTCTATGGGTCTCTATGTGAGATTATGGGTCTCTGTTTGAGTTTGTGGGTCTTAACGCGAGTCAATATTTCTCTATACGAGTCCATGGGTCTCTATTTGAGTCCATGGGTCTCTATGTGAGACTGCGGGTCTCATTGGTGGTCCGGCTGACACCGTGGCGAGATGTTAACTACCTCGCCGGGTCTACAGGAGGTCGTGGGTTCAATTCCGACCCTCATGCCTGCTGTTTATTTGGAGTTTGCGTGTCTCTATCTCATCATCATCACGGTGGCTAGGAGATGTTAACTGCCTCGCCTGGTCTACAGGAGTTCGTGGGTTCGATCCCGACCCCGACGCCTGCTGCTGTTTATTTAGAGTTTGCGTGTCTCTCTCATCATCATCACGGTGGCTAGGAGATGTTAACTACCTCGCGTGGTCTACAGGAGTTCGTGGGTTCGATCCCGACCTGACGCCTGCTGCTGTATATTTGGAGTTTGCGTGTCTCTCTCATCATCATCACGGTGGCTAGGAAATGTTAACTACCTCGCCTGGTCTACAGGAGTTCGTGGGTTCGATCCCGACCTGACGCCTGCTGCTGTATATTTGGAGTTTGCATGTCTCTCTCTCATCATCATCATCACGGTGGCTAGGAGATGTTAACTACCTCGCGTGGTCTACAGGAGTTCGTGGGTTCAATACCGACCCTCAATGCCTGCTGTTTATTTGGAGTTTGTGTGTCTCTCTCTCATCATCATCACGGTGGCTAGGATATGTTAACTGCCTCGCCTGGTCTACAGGAGGTTGTGGATTCAATTCCGACCCTCACGCCTGCTGTTTATTTGGAGTTTGCGTGTCTCTCTCTCATCATCATCATCATCACGGTGGCTAGGAGATGTTAACTACCTCGCCTGGTCTACAGGAGTTCGTGGGTTCGATCCCGACCTGACGCCTGCTGCTGTTTATTTAGAGTTTGCGTGTCTCTCTCATCATCATCACGGTGGCTAGGAGATGTTAACTACCTCGCGTGGTCTACAGGAGTTCGTGGGTTCGATCCCGACCCTGACGCCTGCTGCTGTATATTTGGAGTTTGCGTGTCTCTCTCATCATCATCACGGTGGCTAGGAGATGTTAACTACCTCGCGTGGTATACAGGAGTTCGTGGGTTCGATCCTGACCCTGACGCCTGCTGTTGTATATTTGGAGTTTGCGTGTCTCTCTCATCATCATCACGGTGGCTAGGAGATGTTAACTGCCTCGCCTGGTCTACAGGAGGTTGTGGATTCAATTCCGACCCTCACGCCTGCTGTTTATTTGGAGTCTGCGTGTCTCTCTCATCATCATCACGGTGGCTAGGAGATGTTAACTACCTCGCCTGGTCTACAGGAGTTCGTGGGTTCGATCCCGACCCTGACGCCTGCTGCTGTATATTTGGAGTTTGCGTGTCTCTCTCTCTCCCCGTGGCCGCGTGGATTTTTCTCCGGGTCCTCCGGTTGTTTCCCCGCGCATTTAGAAACAACATCACGCGTTTAGAGTATTCGGTTGCTAGAAATGTCCACATTCTGAAAAAGAGCTATACAGCTAAGTGGTCGTTGCCTGGTTAAATAAAACAAAAATCGTTTCGTTGAGAACCGAAGCTCTCAGCAGTGCTGGTCCCAGTGGCTTTCACGAAAATCGGTCAAACGATGATCACATCAACCACCTCCACGCTCACTCCCACACGTCAAGGCGTCGCTTTAATTAATTAATCAAGCCGATGCGCTTACGATCATCGATCTACGTAACTTGATATTTATATTGATACCATAAACGTTATCTGTCATTACAGCACTGGCTATGGATTCATAAAGTGGGGCGTGTGCATACACACAAAGACAAAGGTCTCCCATATAGCCGCACAGATTGTTGGGGCAAGTGCCGATTGCGAGCACGTTAAGGTCGGCACGGTGCAAAATGGGGTGGTTCGGTTCGCACCACGCTCGGCCACCTTTGTCTCCCCACGTCCTGAAGTCTACACATGAGGCTGAGTCGACCTAGGGGAGGCCCAGGACTGATTCAGATAATCGTGACTGGTGTTGGTTGTCCGTGAGCGGGCTATCGAACTCGGGTCGCCCGGTTCGAGCACAGAGCCCTAACCGTGACACCAAAGACAAAGATCCCCCGTATAGCCTTAACAGACTGTAGGGGCAAGTGCTGTTAGCGAGCACCTATGAAGGTCAAAACGGTACACGAGTGGGTGGGTGGCCAGCACCACGCCCGGCCGCCTTTGTCTCCCCGAGTGGCGATGTTTACACACCGCACCGGATACTCATTTGAGTCTGAGTCGACCTAGGGTGGGAAGCCCAGGACCGGTTCAGATAATCGTCGCTGGTGTTGGCCGTGAGTGGATAATCGAACTCGGGTCGCCCGGTTCGTAGCGCAGAGCCCTGACCGCTACACTACCGCTCCCCACACAGACACACACACTCACACACACAGACACAGACACACACACTCACACACACAGACACAGACACACACACAGACACAGACACACACTCGCACACAGACACACACACAAATAGGTCGTACGCACTCGCTACGAACCGATTGCACACACGTGCACACGCACTCCGAAACGTCGCGAGACATTCCCGCAAAGCGACGGATAATTGAAGCTTGACTCAATTTTTCTGAAATCCCACCTCGACCTCCCCCCCCCCCCGGTAACTCAACGCGTTTTGGGGGGGGGGGAGTGCCCCCCCCCCCCCTTCGCAGCACGCGTCTCGCAGATGAACGGCACCAATCAGCAAAGAGCGTGCCCGCTAAACCAATCAAAAGGGGCTTGGCCGGCAGCTTCCATTATGACGTGGTAAGTGATGCACGAGGAGGGGGGGAGGGGGGGAGGGGCACGCCGAGGAGTAGCCCCCCCCCGCACCCCCACAACGCAGCCCCCGGCGATTGTCGGCATGTGTAGTGTTGTAAAGGACGGACTTCCTAAACTTCTGTATGGCACACACTGTTTATTATCTTAACACACAGTCCCTATCCTAGATGTCTTCGGCCGACTTGGGTCTTCGTGTAGCAGAACTGGCCAAGAGCTCTCAGCGCTCCGGCTTTTATACCTGTTCGTGGCCGGGTTGTCCAATCCCCGGCCACCCTGTGGAACCCTCCGATTGGTCCTTCCCAATCTGGCGTTTGGATCCTACCTCACCCCATTTGACCCTGACCGTTTGATTGAGCGGGAAACCCTTGTTTACGATCCGATCCCTCACAGTTTGCGAACAGCGAGTAGTTAACGCCACTACACATGCACCGCCGCCGCCGATGGAAGCTGTCGTCCGCTAGGAGGAGGGCACTGCCTGAGGACCTCCGCGTCGATGGGCACGTAGGCCTACTCTTCCCGATGTCGCGTTGGACGGGACTGAGCTTGGGTGTGCACCCAAGTGACACCGATGGGTGGACAGGGGCGATGGTGATTCGGGCGTTCGGCCGTCGTTTCAATTGCCGGAGATTTTAATTCAACCGGCGAACTCTGGATTGCAAGTCCGGTGTGCTAACCGTTGCCTATAATAGGGCACCGCCCCCCCCCCCCAAAGCGCGGGGCCCGGGGCAGTTGCCCCGATTTGCCGTGAACCCCGAGGGGACGGCTCAGCGTCAACGGCCATCTCGAGATGTTACAGAGCCAGGGGAGAGCAGACGGAGGAGGGGGGAGGGAGGGAGGTCACGAACACAAGACACTGTTGTGGTGTTTATTTTTTCAAACTCTGGTGGTCGTCTCCGGAAAGGCGGAATGGGAGGTGGGGGCAGGGAGGGGGGAAGAATGGAAGAAGGGAGAGAGCGAGGTAGAGAGGGACAAATGGCTAAAGAGGACAGGAGAGAGGGAGGCGGGGAGTGTGATTACATCTGACACCGTGACCTTGAAGAGCGGGGCACACCCTCCCCAAAGCGTGGGGCCCGGGGCAGTCGCCCCGATTGGCCGTGCACTCCAGGGGAGGGCTCTCCGACACGCTCTCCACCTCTCGCTCGGCACGGTGGCTACTGCGTCACGTGCCACCAACGCCAAACTTCATCGACCGAGGTCGCCTTCACACCGAACACGCTGTGGTGGTTGCCACAACTCCTACGCTGGACATGCGCATAGGCCTCGCTTTGGGCCTCTGCTCAACGGCCGTGATTTAAATAACAAACCCTGTAACTCACTGCCATGGCGCCATCTAAATCACGGGCTCGTAGGTGGAGCACGTGGAGCCCCTCGGGGTGAAGGGAGCGGGTGGTGGCAACAGCGGGGGGAGTTTGTGCAGTTTATAATCACATTTTTATATTTTACATATATTAATATATTTTTTTATGGATGCGCCTTCGCCCAAGGCGCTATACAGAACATAATGATTTTGAGTTTAGATGGCAGGGGTAGTGCTGCGAGGGTTGAGGAATGAGTGGCCGAGATAGAGGGGGTGCCTAGGGATCACGGAAGGGATGCGGGGAGGGACGGGAAGACGTGCGGGGACGAGGGCAGGCAAGGAGAGGAAGATAATTCTATAATTGATGCACACTGTATGTTGAACTTCTTTTGCACCGTGCGTAGCCAGCCGCGCTAATCGGAGATGCGGGGGGAAGGACAACAAACTAAACACACTACAAGCAGTTTCTAAAGAAATTAGTTTTCAATCTTGATTTTAAAAAAAAAATTATGAAGAGGTACAATGGGCAATGGAGAAGAGGTTCCAATGTTATGATTCTCTTCCATCTTTCTTTGCTCATTGACGAGGCCTGGCCGCACAGTCTCCTGTTCCCGCGATGTCTCCTCCTGCTCATCCTCCTCCACCGGCATTCAACACGGCCACAGTCGGCACGCGCCGAGGGGCGACTGCGTTCACAAGCGACTCTCCTCCTCTGTTTCTCCTCCTCCATCTCCTCTTCCATCTCCACCGTCTCGTCGATCTCCCGTATCTCCACCACCACCACCGCCTCCTCCTCCGCGTCCTCCCCCGTTCACCGCGGGCATCACGGCCGCTCGGCCCCGAGGCGTGGTGACCACAGCCACCGCCGCCACCACCGCCCCCTCTGGCGCGCCTTTCACGGAGGCGGCGGTGCGAAGCGCGGCGCCGTAGACCGCCATCGACACGGACGCCGCTGACGCGCTCCGGACGGACGAGGCTGCGGTGCCGCCGCCGCCGCCGCCCAAACCGGGGCACAGCCTCAGCATGACGGAGCGGCGGAACAAGATGTAGACCCAGGGGTCGAGGATCTGGTTCCAGGTCGCCATGCGGATGCCCAGGATGAGCGTGCTACAGTGGCGCTCGGCCGGTATGAGGCTGCTCTTGAGCGCGATGGTGGCGATGAACACCTGGAGGAGGGGGTGGGGGGAGAGAAACGAGGATGGAGGGGATCGCCACCAGTGAGAGCTTCGAGAGTTGCCGTGGGGTGGCTGTGGTGGTGGTGGTGGTGGCGGTGGTGGCGGCGGTAGTAGTGGTGGTGGAGTTGGCACAGGAGGGCGGTACAGCTGGTGGTGCATCTACCGGTCATCTCGGTCGGCCGACCCATTGCACCTGGAGGGTCTGTCCCGAGACCTCCTGTCAGCAGTGGGACTTCGACACTTCACGTGGTAGCCTCAAGGTGCACCTAGCCTGGCACAGGCGCCGTGGTGACGTCACCGTCACGTCACTTAGTGGCGAATGGTGGTGGTGGTGGCGATGGTGGCGGTGGTGTTGGTGGGGTGGCTGCGGTGGTGGCGGTGGTGGTGACTATGCACGTGGCCTCTAAACCAGAAGCTGTGGAGGCATCGAGGGTTGGTGATGCTCCCTTCTTGTGGCCGTCGATGGAGAGCTCTCGCTAGGAAGAATCCGTCTACAGCAAAGTGCTAACTGATATCACCAGTGCCTTTTGTATGGGATCGAGTGTTGCCCCCTCGCACGCTGCGGCTGCTCTGCTCTCCTCCCGCATGTAGGCACTCTTTAAGTGTCCGGTAACAACTTAATATAGATAGAGGATTGCAGAGCTCGCAGTGTGAATCTGGTGCCGGGCTCACCGCATTGCTGCAGTTCCTCTTCGTGCCCCTCGCTCCCTCTCTGGGAGAGGATCGAATGGCGTGCGGGCGCGGTGCGTTACAAGTACACATTATCGTCGTCATAATTCGGATACAATAAATAAAGCGGGCCATCCGCCTCCTATTTACTTAATTGCTGCAATTTACTTTCGCGTGTTTTGCTTTTTGTTATTTTGGTGAGCCGGGCCGCTCTTGCAAATGGGTCTCTTCTATCTCGGTCTCTGGAGCTCTCAGCCTGGTAAAAATAAATACAACTTTAATCTTTTCCTCCACGTGACAAAAGAAAATAAACCTCAGCAGCATTGTATGCATCTTGAACTTCTTTCGTACGTAGCCAACCGGGCAGATCTATAGCTATCTGTGTGAGTCTATGGGTCTGTGTGTGAGTCTATGGGTTCCTGTATGGTTATGTGGGTCTCTGCGTGAGTTGATAAGTCTCTATGTGAGCCTATGGGTCTGTGTGTGGGTCTATGGGTCTGTATGTGAGTCTATGGGTCTGTCTGTGAGTTTATGGGTCTCTGTGTGAGTCTATGGGTCTGTGTGTGAGTCTATGGGTTTGTGTGTGAGTCTATGAGTCTGTGTGTGAGTCTATGGGTCGGTGTGTAAGTCTAATGGTCTGTGTGTGAGTCTATGAGTCTGTGTGTGAGTCTATGGGTCGGTGTGTAAGTCTATGGGTCGGTGTGTAAGTCTATGGGTTTGTGTGTGAATCTAGGGGTCTGTGTGTGAGTCTATGGGTTGGTGTGTAAGTCTAATGGTCTGTGTGTGAGTCTATGAGTCTGTGTGTGAGTCTATGGGTCGGTGTGTAAGTCTATGGGTCGGTGTGTAAGTCTATGGGTTTGTGTGTGAATCTAGGGGTCTGTGTGTGAGTCTATGGGTCTGTGTGTGTGTCTATGGATCGGTGTGTAAGTCTATGGGTCTGTGTGTGAATCTATAGGTCTGTGTGCGAGTCTATGGGTCTCTTTGTGAATTCAATAAGTTACACGATGCCTGCTGCTGGTGGAGGTGGTGGGGCTGTAAATTATGAATTGTTTGTTATCACGATAAAAATATCTCCAGTTCTGGTTTTCCCATTTGTGGCTTTTTGGTCCATGAATACCGGATCGGGAACCAAAACGAGGGTCCCACCGCGAGCGAAGAGTCACTCTCCCCGTGAACGAGAGCCTCTGACGACGGAGCGGCGGTCACGGGGTCACGTGGCCACGTGAGGAAAACCCGGACTGGATCGTCGTAACGACGTCGACGACCGTGAGGAAATGACGAGGGCGACGACTGACAATGAAGATGATGAATATCGCGATGAATTAGTGACAAAAGAAAAAAACACGCAAATTAAAACGAAGACGACAAATGACAGAGAGACCACGACCACTAAACCGGGGTCCGCTCGGCTCAGCAACCCCTACAGTACTCTTTGGTTCTTTCGGTAAAGTCACGTAGGTACAAAATAAAACAAATCATGACGTTTCCGCGCTTTATTTAATTTTTCTACTCTACGTGACTTTACCGAAAGAACCAAAGAGTAATCCCTGCAGTCACGAAAGCTTCGAATCGAGTTTGAATGGGACGACTTGCAAGCCAGAGCCGGAGCCAGGGTCTGTTTACTCGACACCCATGCAGCCTCCTCCTCCTCTTCCCCATCCCAACATCCACAGCCGGGGGGGGGGGGGGGGTGCAGGGCAAACCACGCCGTGTGGGGCCCCCGACGCCTTCAAAGTATTACATCTGACGTGGTGACGTCGAAACGCGACGTAGGTCACGAACACAAGACAAACTCTTTGGTTCTTTCGGTAAAGTCACGTAGGTGGAAAAAGTAAAATCAAACGAATAAATAATCCACCAGCAGATCGAACCCCTACAATAATTCCGCCGCCCGGCACATCTCGACGACTGTGGCCACCGCTTTGCCAAGCTGCCACTCACCGCAGTCTCTTCCAGCAGGCGACCCAGAGAGCGCCGAAAATACTCGGCGAGAAATTGAACCTCGACAACCTCAACAACAACAACAACACCGCCACCGCTCCCCCCGAAGTCCCCAACGACCCGAGGGCCCTGTCTCTCACCAGCAGCGGAGTCCAGCACACGGTGGCGATCACCATGATGCCCAGCAGCTGCACCACCATCTCCAACTCGTGCTTGTTGGCGCGGTGCCGCCTCCGAGCGCCGGCCCCGGCCCCGGCACCGGCACCGCAGCGGCGAGCTCGCACCAGCGTGAGCACAGTGGTGCTGTTGAAGAGGTGGGAGGCGGCGAGGGACACGAGACCCAGGAGGGAGAACACGACGGCGCCGGCCGCGTGCGCCGGCTGGCCGCAGTGGAGGATCGGGGAGGGAGTGGGGAACAACGCAACGCGAATGACGCTTCGCTGATGTTCCGACGATGGTGATAATCGTCAAGGAGCTGTGAACCATCATCACGCCAACTCTGATCATCCTCGCAGCAGCAGCGGCGGCGGCTTTTGTCTAAGCCACCGAACAAAGACGGTGGTCCTCCTGCGACCGTCTGGAACGCTCTCACTTCTGATATTAGGAAGCCGCTGGAGCTATGCACTTTTAAACCATCATCTAGATGGACAAACTCATTTCTTTAGAACTGCGTTTTGTGTTTAGTTTGCTGTCCTGACCCCGCACCTCCGATGAGCACGGTTGGCTACGTACGAAAGAAGTTCAACATTATATGATATATCCGACAAACTGCCTTTACGTGCGTGCGTCGAACTTCTTTCGCACCGTACGTTAGCCAACCGTGCCAACCGGAGCCGCCCGCTGACCCCGGCCGCAACTGCCAGCGGGCGCGTCGGGCACCGACCTGCAAGACGCCTCCGTCCGCCCCCTCCGTCGCGAGGAAGCACCACGAGCCCGGCCACTGCACCGAGTAGGAGCCGAGGCCGGCGGCGGGCGCCACCGCCACGGCGAGCGCGAGGGCCCAGACGGCGAGCACGGCCGCGCCGGCCCCGCGCCGCGTCACGACGGCGGCGTGGACGAGCGGCCGCGCGATGCCGAGGCGACGCTCGACCGCCATGGCGCAGCCCAGCAGCAGGGGCGACAGGCCGAAGAACACCATGCAGCCGCCGAAGAAGCGGCAGAGGTGGCGCCGGGGGTCCACCCTCGTCCACTCGAGGTCGAGCGCGTGCATGCTCACGACGACGGCGCCCGTGACCGCCAGCCCGGCGAGGTCGGTGGCGACGAGGCCCGTGACCACGGCGAGGAAGGCGCCGCGCGAGCGGCTGCGCGTGCGGCGCGCCGCCCTCGCCACCACGACGAGGGCGAAGATGTTGGAGGCGAGCCCCGCGGCGGTGAAGATCGCCGAGTACCAGGGCGAGGTGCGGTTCGGCGTCGACTTGGCGGCGCAGGAGGGCGACGTCGACGCCGTCGCGTTCTCCATCGTCGACGCCGTTGGAGCGCCGCTCGCGTTGAAGAGGACGCCCGGCAGCGAGAAGGCCGTGGCGCCGGCGGCGGCGGCCGCGTTGTCGGCCGCCACGAGGGCCATGGCGAGGTTACGGTGGCGGAGATCGGCGAGGGTGAAGATTGGCGGTGTTTGGTGAGCAGGCTCCCGGTATTGACGGAGAGGTCTCACTGTCACGAGACCGTTTCAATATTGATGAAGGTGATGTTGGTGATGAAGGAGGTCAGGCGATCCTGGTGATGAAGGTCAGCAGGTCCTGGTGATTAAGGAGGCGCCTCGTTTATTGAGGCCCCAATATTCATGAGCCGGGTACCGACGGAGTATGTGACAACGGGAGGGCAGATCGTCGGAGGGCAAACGGCCGGACGCTCCCTACGCAGTGATCCCTTCCTCCTGCGCCATCATCAAGCGACGGACGCCGGCTTTGACCGACCGTAGGATACGTGGTTGCAGTTCGGTAAAGTTCAATTTATTTTAGAAAAAAATAAACAATCCTCGGTGCCACGTGGACCTCCGAGGGCAAACTCCGCTCGGTCGTCGGGTCTCGGTCCATCAACTTTAAAATGTCCGCAGCCCAGGGGCCTCCGCCAGCCGGAGGGCCTCCACAGATGAAGTGAAAAGTGATTTCGCTTGTGAATTACTGAATTTTATTTGTTGTTAGCCTTGTCAAAATCTATTTTATTTTTCTTTAACTTTGTTTTCCTTTGGGAAACATTACTGGGGGCCCTCACAGTAGCTGTAGCCCAGAGGCCTACAGGCGTTAGGGTCGACCCCGACGCTTGATACGCAGAGCGAGCCGGTCAGTTGCCAATACCGTATCGACGTTCACGTGTTTCGGTTTACACAGAGAAAGAGAGAGATGCGTGTGTGTGTGTATATAGTCGTAGCAGGCGCAGGTTTTTGTTGTTGGCGTGTGATCGTCACGCAGATGTCGGGCGTTGAACGACGTTTGGACGGAGGTCTGACACGAAGTCGTTGAACGAGCTCCTTGTCATCGTTCGGACGGTCCGCCCAGCGGGGTCTTCCTGCACCTTCGAGTGTGCTGTGATTGTCGCTGGCCGCTCGGCGATTTCTTCTTTCTTTCGGGGTCTCTTTGGGCTTTGCGCTCAGCGAACCGGCGACTTAGAAAAAAATATCAAAATTGAAAGAATCAAAACGCATCGAGCGCGGAGCTTGAATGGTGACGACGGACGAGACGCGTGAATTCCCGCACGCCCCGCCTCTGCCCTCGATGAAAAGAGCTCCTTAGCGAAGTGGGCTTTAACTCAGTGGGGGGGAGATATTGTACGTTGCCGGTTCTGACTCTCTCTCGCTCTCTCTCTCTCTGGCGTCTCTATTCTCGCGAAGACTTCGCCAGGGACTTTGACGCGACCGGGGCTCGAGCGACGGCTCGCTGCAACAAAATAACTTACAAACTCAGCCCAGAGCCATCGTGACGACCACCAAACGCCACCACCACCGAGGATGTTTCACGCCCCCCACCCCCCCTCCGTGTGTGTTGTTAAAAAATGTTTTTCACAGAAATACCGGAGAAATGCTTTCATCCGCTGGTGGGTTGAGAATCCGTTGAAGTTTGTTTTTTTTGGCCTATCTGGTTTCGCGATGACGGAAGCCACGCGCGTCTCAGCGGTCGAAAAGTCCTGCAATGAGAGTGAGAGAGAGAGAGAGGGGGTCGGGGTGGTTACGTGGCTGCAATGGAAGTTTCGTTAGGCAATACACAGCCGCCGTCATAGGAACGTGGAATGTCTGTCTGTGGCTCGCAGGCCTTGAAGGGGTAGGGAGGGTGAGCAGCGACACCTCTTGTGTGAGTGAAACGTGATGTTACACACAGGGTGGCCAAAAGTTCGGACTCGTCGACTTGTTATATTTACGTTGGCAAATCCCACAAGGTGACCACCGGATCTCACGTATTCATGACAAATATTCCAAGCTGACTTACGCTGACATAAATTCTTTTTTTAATGGGAGACAAAAATAAATTGCCACCCCCCAAGATGACGTGCTTATGCTCAAGCTGTCAGTCGAGTTATACAAACCTGACCTCACTCACGCACGCGCGCACAGCGACCGGATTATAAGACGCACCGCTCAACTTTTACTTTATAATGCAGAGTGAGGGAATGGTGCGTCGTATATTCCAGAGACTGCAGACATCATTGTGGTCATTTTTTTCCAGCAGCAGCAGCAGCACCGCCGCCGCCGGTGTGAAAATGGAAGAGAAAAACAACCGCATTTGATTCAGAAAGTACGTGGAGCCCGACTCTCACCAGCAGCACTTAACACTCCCAGAGGCACGGGATAGAGGAGGCACGGGATAGAGTTTCCCTTCGACGTTCACAGTCGTGGCACCGACGCCGAAATGGGACCGGACTACGGGGAGATGACGCGCGGCTTCAACTCAGCAGCAGCAGCAGGAGTCACTCACGCCTGTCAACAAGACCACGTGACCGCAAACGCTCCCATCCCTCACTCCACGGGATCCCAATCTCATCACGCACTCTCCTGCCTCTCCCCTCTCATCTCACTCCACTCCCCTCCACGCACTCTCCTACCTCTCCCCTCTCATCTCACTCTACTCCCCTCCACGCACTCTCCTACCTCTCATCTCACTCTACTCCTCTCCACGCACTCTCCTACCTCTCCCCTCTCATCTCACTCCATTCCCCTCCACGTACTCTCCTACCTCTCCCCTCTCATCTCACTCCACTCCCCTCCACGCACTCTCCTACCTCTCCCCTCTCATCTCACTCCACTCCCCTCCACGCACTCTCCTACCTCTCCTCTCTCATCTCACTCCACTCCCCTCCACGCACTCTCCTACCTCTCCCCTCTCATCTCACTCCACTCCCCTCCACGCACTCTCCTACCTCTCCCCTCTCATCTCACTCCACTCCCCTCCACGCACTCTCCTACCTCTCCCCTCTCATCTCACTCCACTCCCCTCCACTCACTCCCCTACCTCTCCTCTCATCTCACTCTACTCCCCTCCACGCACTCTCCTGCCTCTCCCCTCTCATCTCACTCTACTCCCCTCCACGCACTCTCCTACCTCTCCCCTCTCATCTCACTCTACTCCCCTCCACGCACTCTCCTACCTCTCCCCTCTCATCTCACTCTACTCCCCTCCACGCACTCTCTTACCTCTCCCCGCTCCTACCTCTCTCATCTCACTCTACTCCCCTCTACCCAGTCTCCTACCTCTGTCCTCTCATCTCACTCTCCTCCACGCACTCTCCTACCTCTCATCTCACTCCACTCCCCTCCACACGCACTCTCCTACCTCTCATCTCACTCCACTCCCATCCACGCACTCTCCAACCTCATAAAAAAACATCATCACCACGACAATCATCATGACCAATATAATCACCATCTTTACTCACCACCACTACCGCGTGGCATCGCCGTCATGGGCACCACTTGGAGGAGAGAGAGGGAGGGAGGGAGCACAATAGGAGGCATCTGACTCTACACAAGTGAAGGCTGCCCCGAGCCTGGCCACGGGCGAACGTGGAATTCGACACCCGCACAGGACACAAGACGAATACGAACGCCAGTGGGTGGGGGGGGGATTGAACACAGAGGCCCCCCTCCATTTGACCCCCAAGAGCGGCGTCTGCCGTGGCCTTGAACGTGAATCTATAACAGGCGACGTTTCGGGCAATGGCCCTTCCTGAGTTGTGTTTGTCACGCACGGCAGTTCGCCCATCCCGAGCGCTATCCAGGCCCAGCCTCGCTAAGCTTCTGAGATCAGTCGAAATTGGGTTCTTTTGGGGTCACGCGATCATATGTTTTGTATAAAATCATTTTATTTGTATTTTTTCACTTAAATTGTAACCAGCTCGTGCGGGCATGTGGATTCGACTTATTCCATGATTACACACACGCGTGTGTGTGTGTATAATAAATATGCTGCCCTTTAAACAATCAGCAGGCATTGCGTGTGTGCATGTACACGTGTGTGTGTAACGTTTTTTTATGCGAGTGTGTGTGGGGAGCGGTGGTGTAGCGGTTAGCGCGCTGCGCTACGAACCCGGCGACCCGGGTTCGATTCCTGCCCACGACCAAAGAATGACGATGATTGGTGGCGAATATCTAGACCGGTTCTGGGCGTCTTCCTCTCGGTCTACGCCTCGACCGAGTACGATGTCTAAACATCAGCGCTCGGGAGACAAATGCAACTGGGTTTCGTGCTCACCACTCACCCCGAATTTAAAGAAACTTGCTCCACTATTTCGCCTGCCGCGCCGGAGATTAAAGTGTTTTTCTCACGGCCAGGGTTCTCCATGTCTCGCGAACCCCACCTCCCATCACGCTCCGTTCCACGTTTACCAATTTCATATACCCCCGCCCCCGTCCCCTATTAAAATTTTAAATGAACGAAACCCCCTCGAACGCTTCACACGCCCGATGATTTTAAACACGTCCCGGCGATTAACGCCGTCTGCGTTACCAAAGCCGATCCAAATTAAGTTTGGGATATCGGTGTGTGCGTGTGTGTCACGCGTGGTTCAAGTTCATTTATTAGGTATAGCCCCGTGAGCCATTCGGCTCTTGAATCGGGTGCAATCGCAACAAACAAAAAACTAAAACATGTACAAGAAAACATCTCAAAGTGACTATGTGACTAAGTGCAAACAGAAAATCCAGGGGAAAAAAACAGCAAAAATTCCAGAAACAAGCGCCGTACACCAACGCTGTGTGCAAAAACCTCAGTGGGATGCAAGGCAAATAACAACAACAACCACAAGACAACTTAGATTAAGGCCATCCGTCGAACTCCGTACTACAACAAACAAACATGGCCAAACCAAAAAACTTTTCGAAATCACCAAAATAAAGCCATAAAAGCAATGTAACAGTGATCATAGGAACAGTGACCGAATTTTCAAAATAAACGACATAAACAACATGTACCAGCAAACCCTGCAGCCATGTGGTGCCACGCATGGGCCGCCCGTGTACCACGTGTGAGCCATGTGTGTGCGGGTGTACCACGTGCTACGCGTTATGGGGTAGAACGGGGCGTTCATTCGGTTACCAGCCATGCAAAAAAAACACGGATTTTTTTGTTTGTTTTTCAACCCAAGTGCGTACGCGTATACGTTTATGTATCCGTGTATACATATCTCTATGTATGTGTGTATATGAGTATTCGTGTGTGTATGCATCAATGTCTATGTATTTGTATACGATGTATCTGCATGTGCGTATCTGCAAACATGCATATGTATATAGTTCTATGTATGTCTATGCGTCTGTGTATGTATACGGGTGTATGTTCATGTGTATACGTATATCTATAACACAGGGGTTTTCTTTTGTTAGATCGCGTAAATGTGTCGTTAAACACGCCACCACCCGACACAGCACTATTAGTAAGGGTTCGTCACGTAAACAGAACACGCCAATTCGTCACTAGTACAGCACACCGGTGTGTTGGAGAGCAAATCCACACCATCTGTACATACGATTCTATTATCTACGTGTCTCTCTGTGTAAGGACGTAAGTGTGTTGAACTTTGTTCACACCGTACGTAGCGGACCGTGCTAATACGGGGAAGGACGACAAACTAAACGCAATAAGCGGTTCTAAAGAAATGACTTTGTCAATATAAAATTATAGACGATGATTTAAAAGTGAATAGCTCCAGTGGCTTCCTAGCAACGGAAAGAAGAGCGTTCCAGACGGCCGCAGAAGCCGCGTCTGAAAGCGTGCGATGTGTGTGTACGCATCTTGTTACGTGTGTATATGTAGTGCCGGGTTATTCTAATAGCTAAAGTAGCTACATATGTAGTAGCTACGGGCTCCGCACTTTCAAGGGCCCCGCGCTAAATGACTTCAAGCCATCAATTCCGGTAACAGTGATTCTGCACTTGCTCTATTACTATAGTACTATACCGCCTTCGACTTTTACGAACGACTGCGTGTTTAAGGTTAGCGATTTATCGTATTTTCTGTGGCTGTATAGCAAATAAAATAAAAATAGAATTACTTACTATCCAAGTAAAAGATTGGTGTTTTAATATTTATGTTTTTATTTTATTTAGGGCCCCTTTATAACATAGCTTCATCCGGCACTTTATATATATGTGTGTTTGTGTCTACGCACGTACGTTTATCCGTAGTCGTGTGTGCACGGTACACCTCTACGCGTGAACTCGCCTCGTACCTTACCTCCCTCGCCCACGCGCCTCGTCATCTGTCCCTCGAGCGAGAGCTCCACTCGGCTCCTCCGAGTGGAGCGGAGAGGCGGGGACCGGGTCCAGCCCAGGAACTCCCTCCCACCCTCCCCCACCACGGAGCAGGGGAGGCGGGGGCGACGTGGAGGGTAGGGGGTGGATGTGGTGGGTGGAGTGGTGGGGGTGGTTGTGGTGGGTGTAGTGGTGGGGGTGGTTGTGGTGGGTGTAGTGGTGGGGGTGGTTGTGGTGGGTATAGTGGTGGGGGTGGTTGTGGTGGGTGTAGTGGTGGGGGTGGTTGTGGTGGGTGTAGTGGTGGGGGTGGTTGTGGTGGGTGTAGTGGTGGATGCCCTGGTGGTCCCCTCTCTTTAAGAAGGGGGACCGCACAGACTGTAACAACTACAGGGGCATCTCACTCCTCAGTGTGCCGGGAAAGGTCCTGGCAAGGATTATTCAACATCGCTTTGCCAGGCACGCTGAGGAGAGGCTTGCGGAGCCCCAATGCGGTTTCAGGAAAGGGCGGTCATGCACAGATGCAATATTTTCTGTCCGTCTGCTACAGCAGAGGTGTAGGGAATTCCAACAAGACCTACATCTCTACTTTATTTACCTGGTCAAGGCCTATGATACCATCAGTAAGCCTGGGCTCTGGGTAGTTCTTCGTGCTTTCGGAGTCCCTGACCCACTACTCACAATCATTAAGGACCTTCATGATGGTGAGCGGGCCCGGGTAAAACTACGTGGCCGGGAGTCAGAGCCATTCGCTGTACACCTTGGGGTGCGACAGGGATGTTCTCTGGCTCCCTACATTATTTAACATCTATTTCGACTACGTAGTTCGTGACGCCTTCAATAGCTGTACCGGAGGAATTTCCATCTGGTACAGATACAATGGGAGGCTGATCGATGCCCGGGTGCGGTCAAGGGATGGCTCCCTATTGCTCAACCATGTTATGTATGCCGATGATCTGGTAATTGCTGCTGACTCAGAGGAGGAGTTGGAGGCGCTGCTGCTGAATCTGGAGCTTGCCACTAAGAGGTGAGGCCTTACCAACAGCCCCACAAAAACTAAGCACCTGCCTGAGTATTTTGTACCATCGGACACTCGACCCCCACAATTCCCAATTGGTGATAAGGCAGTTGTGGAGAGAGTGGAGAGTTTCCCATACCTGGGCAGTGTGCTCATGACCGGCTCCAGTTTAACAGCAGAGGTCTCACTCCGAATCAGTCGAGCGGCATTATCTTTTCATCGGTTGCGTAACGCTGCTGTGTGGAAGCTACCTGGTCTGTCGATCCGCATGAAGCTTCAGGTCTTCTCGGCCACGGTCATTCCCTCCCTTCTCTACGCTTGCGAGACGTGGACCCCCCTAATGGAACATGTTCGCCGGTTAGAAACATTTAGGCTGGCCCGCCTACGATCCATCCTGGGTTTAACCATGCTGGATTGTGTGAGGAGCTCACAAATCCTTGAAATATCTGGACAAAGTCCCATCGGTGAGCTTCTCCGGCAGGCAAGGCTGCGTTGGCTGGGTCATGTAGCCCGCATGCCCAGCCACCGCATGCCTACACAGCTTATGTTCGGACGGATCGAGGGGGCTAAACGGGCGCGGCACGGGCTAGAGAAGAGATGGAGTGATGTGGTACAGGAGGATTAGGAGCTGAGTGGACTTGACAATGACTGGTACCAGCGGTATCAAGATCGGCCTCAGTGGAGGAGGCTCGTGAAGGACGCTACTGGGCAGTTGGAGGCAGTCGCCTTCCAACAACAACGGAGGGCGGAGGAGCGACGCTCGCAACAACGAGCAGAGCGCCGGGTGGTCAAAGCACAACAAGTTGGCACAGTAGGGGGCACAGGTGGTGCATCAGCCAGTCGTCTTGGTCATCTCAGTTAGTCGACCTGTGGCATCTGAGTCTGCCCCGTGACCTCCTGCCAGCGGGAGTTAGTCACTTCACGTGGCCTCAAGGTGCACATAGTCTGGCACAAGCGTCGTGGTGACGTCACCGCCACTTAGTGGCGAATGGCGGTTGTTGTTGTAGTGGTGGGGGTGGTTCTGGTGGGTGTAGTGGTGGGGGTGGTCGTATTGGGTGTAGTGGTAGGGGTGGTTGTGGTGGATGTAGTGGTGGTTGTGGTGGGTGTCATGGTGGGGTGGTGGGTGTAGTGGTAGTGGTGATTGTGTTGGGTGTAGTGGTACAGGTGGTGGGTGTAGTGGTGGTTGTGTTGGGTGTAGTGGTGGTGGGTTTAGTGGTGGTTGTGGTGGAAGTAGTGGTGGTTGTGGTGGGTGTAGTGGTGGAGGTGGTTGTGTTGGGTGTAGTGGTGGGGGTGATTGTGATGGGTGTAGCGAAGTGACGAGTTGTTAACTACCTCGCCTAGTGTACAGGAGGTCATGGGTTCGATCCTGACCCTGACGCCTGCTGCTGTATATTTGGAGTCTGCGTGTCTCTCTCCACGTGCTCGCTGTGGATTTTTTCTCCGGGTCTTTCGATTTTCCCCTCCACATTTAGAATCGACATCACGCGTTTAGAGGATTTGGCTACTGCTCTACATTTCCGCGTGATAAACCACTTCGTTGAGCTATCATTTGTGTCCACGTTGCTCCTGGAAAAGAGCTCTTTAGCTCCGTGGGCCTTACCTAGTAAAATAAAATATTGTAAATAGTAAATGGTAGTGATGAAGACCGCTTGTGTTGCGATCGAAACGTCGTGGGTTTTTTGCTTTTATTATTTTCAATAAATTTTTACTTTTATTGGACAATTTTTTTATTGCGGCTTTTTTATTTTCTTATTTTCAATTTATTATTTAAATCTATTTATTTTAATTTAAATTATTACAAATTAGCATTTTTATTGTATTATATATATATATATATTTTCTATTTACGTGACTTTACCGAAAGATAGGTGTAGTGGTAGGGTTTGTTGTGGTGGGTGTAGTGGTGGTGGGTGTAGTGGTGGTTGTGATGGGTGTAGTGGTGGTTGTGGTGGGTGTAGTGGTGGGGGTAGTGGGTGTAGTGGTGGGGGGTGGTAGATGGGGTGGTGGTTGTGGTGAGTGTAGTGATGGTTTGGTGGGTGTAGTGGTAGTGGTGGTTGTGATTGGTGTAGTGGTGGTGGGTGTAGTGGTAGTGGTGGTTGTGATGGGTGTAGTGATAGCGGTGGTGCTGAAGTCCCACTCGGGTCACCGGGTTCGTCACGCAGCGCACTCACCACTACACTTCTGCTTGCCATTAGCACAGGCAAAGTTCAGCAAGCAGCACACACACACACATTGGTGCTCCCCACCACAACTACATACCAAGACAAATACGTACCAAGACAAATTCATACCAAGGCAAATTTCAGTTTAATTTCTTTGGTATAGCCATGTGAGCCATTTGGCTCTTGAATCGGGTGCAACCGCAACAAACAAAAAACGAAAACATGAACAAGAAAACATCTTAAAGTGACTATGCGCAAACATAAAAATTCATATTAAGACAAATACACACCAAGACAAATTCACACCAAGACAAATACACACCAAGACAAATTCACACCAAGACAAATACACACCAAGACAAGTTCACACCAAGACAAGTTCACACCAAGACAAATTCACACCAAGACAAATTCACACCAAGACAAATACACACCAAGACAATTACACACCAAGACACATTCACACCAAGACAAATACACACCAAGACAAATTCACACCAAGACAATTACACACCAAGACAAATTCACACCAAGACAATTACACACCAAGACAAATTCACACCAAGACAAATACACACCAAGACAAATTCACACCAAGACAAATACACACCAAGACAAATTCACACCAAGACAAATACACACCAAGACAAATTCACACCAAGACAAATTCACACCAAGACAATTACACACCAAGACACATTCACACCAAGACAAGTTCACACCAAGACAAATTCACACCAAGACAAATACACACCAAGACAAATTCACACCAAGACAAGTTCACACCAAGACAAGTTCACACCAAGACAAATTCACACCAAGACAAATACACACCAAGACAAGTTCACACCAAGACAAGTTCACACCAAGACAAATTCACACCAAGACAAGTTCACACCAAGACAAATACACACCAAGACAAATACACACCAAGACAAATACACACCAAGACAAATTCACACCAAGACAAATTCACACCAAGACAAGTTCACACCAAGACAAATTCACACCAAGACAAATTCACACCAAGACAAATACACACCAAGACAAATTCACACCAAGACAAATACACACCAAGACAAGTTCACACCAAGACAAATTCACACCAAGACAAATTCACACCAAGACAAATACACACCAAGACAAATTCACACCAAGACAAGTTCACACCAAGACAAATTCACACCAAGACAAGTTCACACCAAGACAAATTCACACCAAGACAAGTTCACACCAAGACAAGTTCACACCAAGACAAATACACACCAAGACAAATTCACACCAAGACAAATTCACACCAAGACAAATTCACACCAAGACAAACACACACCAAGACAAATTCACACCAAGACAAATACACACCAAGACAAATTCACACCAAGACAAATTCACACAAAGACAAGTTCACACCAAGACAAATTCACACCAAGACAAACTCACACCAAGACAAGTACACACCAAGACAAATTCACACCAAGACAAATTCACACCAAGACAAATACACACCAAGACAAGTTCACACCAAGACAAACTCACACCAAGACAAACACACACCAAGACAAGTTCACACCAAGACAAATTCACACCAAGACAAATTCACACCAAGACAAATACACACCAAGACAAACTCACACCAAGACAAACTCACACCAAGACAAATTCACACCAAGACAAATTCACACCAAGACAAATTCACACCAAGACAAATTCACACCAAGACAAATTCACACCAAGACAAATTCACACCAAGACAAATTCACACCAAGACAAGTTCACACCAAGACAAGTTCACACCAAGACAAATTCACACCAAGACAAATTCACACCAAGACAAATTCACACCAAGACAAGTTAACACCAAGACA